CCTCAGAAACCTACAAAAAGAACTACCATATAACCCAGTAATTCTACCCTTAGGTATTTACCCAAAGGATAGGAAAACTCTCAATTAGAAAAAACACTTGCATGCTCATGTTCATTGAAGGATTATTTGCATTTACTAGGACATGGAGTCAAGTCAAATGTCCGAAGATAGATGAGTAAATTGAAAAAAATGTGGCATATGTACTCTACGCAAAAAAAAAAGCATTGAGACCCTGACATTTGCTAAATAGTAGATGAATGTGGAAAACTTAATGCTAAGTAAAGCAAATCCGACTATGAAAGACAGACTTTGTATGTCCCTACTCAATATATACCAAATGTCCACACTCTACAGAAGAAACTGAAAGATTGGAAGGTATCATAACAGGGAGGGCAAGTGTAGACACTAGGGATAGTAAAAATAGGGTTCGTGGGGGGGGCGAGACATAGGGAGAGGAACATATGGAGGGAAACAGGGAAAAAACAATATGTTTAATTGACACAAAAATTAAAAGTTAATTGCTGATAACATATATGATAATGTCTTCGTCTTGACTGATATGCACTGTATTCATGCTGAGAAAAGCCATGTTGTACACTGTAAAGATGTATAGCGATTAAATGTAAATAATATATATTTTAAAAATGGAATATAAGTTTTCTTCAGATTTAAGTAGCAGTTTCTTCCTTCCTGTGCCCTGGGATAATTATGATTAAGCTTAAATGAATGTGCTATTGGCCGTCATCCTAAATTACATTGACAATGGTATCAAATGATTTCAGAATGCCAGTGTGCATAGCCATGGTGCTGTATAAGTCCCACCATTTTAACTTCCCTCATATTTTTTGTATTTCGAAGAGATTCCTTTCTCTTGATATTGATATGAGTTTTAATCTTAAACTATAATATAGTGTCATTTGAAAGATTAAGGAGGGAAGTTGTGCTATTGCAAATTTTGGTCTAGAAAAAATAACCCATCAGAAATACAAAATTGTTTAATATCTTATATCTTAGTATTAATCTCTCTCTCTCTTTCCTCTCTCTCTCTCTCTCTCTCTCTCTCTCTCTCTCGGCTTTTGCCATGGGGCTTGTGCACTCGCTGCAGAGAAAGAGAGGGAAAGTGAGAAATCATCCCCCAGGGGGATGGCCATGCCACAGTCCCTCCTCCTCCATTCTCCTCTAGAGATTTTGGGTGCACACACACATGCCCAGTGTGAGTTTCAAGCCACTGGGTCTGGGACTTGAACTGGGGTTGTCCGTGTACGAGTCCGAAACTTTAAACATCACACCACCTGCTGGCCCCAATATTCAACCTTCTTTTAACCTTCAGGGAAGGCTGTGAATTTAAACATAGTAAAAGAAATTAAAGATTTGTATTTGGTGGTCTTTTGTTAATATGCCTATCTCATTTTTGCCTTGAAAATATTATTCTTCATTAAGACTTTAAGTATGTGTATTACCAAATTTGTTTGGAAAAACTTTACTTTTATTGAATCTAAATTCAAACTTTTTATTTTGAAGATTAAGTCAAGAGAGTTTATTATCCCTTTCAAGAAATAGCTTACCAAGAATGAGGGTGGAGGGGAGAGCAGGGCAGAGGGCCCGGTCATTGGAATGGGAGCAATACTTGTTCATTGACCATGTTTAGAATCACTGGTGCATGGTGCTAATAAAAAGCAAACTGGATGCTGATCAATCGCATTAGTAATCTTCGACTCTACAGACAATGCACTCACACATTGCTTATATTTCTTATACTTATATAAATCAACCCCCACGTCTGATCACTCAGGTTCTCCCTGGAGTTAAAGATTGACTAAAATGGTATCAGAGAAAGAGAATTTTATAGCCTAGACTAATTGGCAAAAGATTGAGGCATGCCAGCCTGACTGGCCCTTTCCTTGTTTTTGTAAATAAAGTTTGTTATTATATTTGTTCAACATATTGTCTGTGGCAGCATTTGCACTGTAAGGACAAAGTTGAGTAATTGGACTAGACACTATATGACCCTCAAAGTCTAAATATTACTATCAAGCCCTATACAGAAAACCTTCCCTGGCCTTTTATCTAAATGTGAGGGATCTTCAAAAGTTTATGAAAAAATATCTATTACAAAAAAACTATGCATAAATTTCAAATATTTTTGCACGAAAATAAATGTGTACTTTAATTCCATTTTTGCTTGAACTGTTTGAAGTACCCTGTACTTATACCAAAAACCAAAGTATTCCTTGTTTTATGAAGATGTACACAAAACAATTTTCACATAAATGTTGCATTTTAACATGTGTCTTTGTTAAATGTTTAACATTGGTTATCATGATATTTACCTATTAATGTTTATCTCTCTTATAGTCCCTGCTATGTGGATATTTGTTAGCAATGACTGATGTGGAAACTACATATGCAGATTTTATTGCTTCTGGAAGAACAGGTAGAAGAAATGCAATACATGACATCTTGGTTTCCTCAGCAAGTGGCAACAGCAATGAATTAGCCTTGAAATTAGCAGGTCTTGATATCAACAAGGCAGGTGAGTCATCTGACACAAATCTATCAACATGGAATGGTTTGCAGCATTTCACTAAGTAGGATTAAGATCCAAGAGGTCACCTTTGAAATTAACCTAAGAACAAATCTCTTAAATCACTCCCACTGTTTTCAATGACTTCTCTTCACCTGATTTCCCACTCACATGCAGACTTCTTAATCTGCTTTTATTAATGCAATCAATAAAGCACTTAATTAAAAAAAATCCCTACCCTCTATGAAAGCTCTGAAATTGCTTATATAGAATATTTGAGTTGAAGCTCTGACCCTTGACAATATTGGCGACCTCTAAAGTTTAAATGATCATTTTATTATTAATTTCATTAATTAAATTTATTTTACACTTTGTTTCTTTATTCATGATCATGTGTGCAGTGAGAGAGATGAGCGCCCTCCACAAGTTCTGGTCACACAGCAATCCCTTTCACCAAGTCTTTCAGCCTGCTGTGTTTGAGGTTGACTGGACAAGGGCTTCAAACTATAGTCACCATGTGGGATCTAGCTTCTCTTGAGCAGTAAATTACCACTACACTACAAAACCAATCTCATTATTATTACTATCATTTTAATGCCAGAGAGCATGTGCATGTGCCAGAGAGAGAAGGTACCCCACAACAGGGAATGGTCATGCCACAATCTTTTTTCTCATATTTTTAATCCCACCAGGAATCTATCAGGTACCCTTCTACTTGTACCACTGTGGCTGGGCCTATATTTTATTTCATTTTTAATTCTTATGGTAGGTGTCTACCTTACTAATGAAAAAGAAAAAAATTGATATGTTAAGCTACTTGACAGCCCTAGTTCTGAGTATCAGCATAAATCCTCTGGTAGTGCCTCTATCTGTACCTTTTACAAATATCAAAGCTGAATATGTTTCCATGAAACTTGTGCACAGTCCTTAAAAGTAAAAAAAAAAAAAAAAAAAAAAAAAACTCACCCTCAAGGAATTATAATGTTATATATATGAAAAGTACTTATCGTAGTTTCTGACTCATGACTAACCCTTGAGGTTTTTGGAAAACTAACTCAGAATACAAACATGCTAATGAAACAGCTCACCAATGTTACCTTCAAATACATAAGGACAGCCGTTCATTCAAGACTAAAGATCAATAGATCACACATCAGTCTTTTCAAATTAAGATTGATAATAAAACTTTAACATCACTTTGGAATATAATAACTATATTTTTTTTGTTTCCTTGTTTCTCTATTATTACCACCAATAGTTATTTCCCAAAGCTGCTCTGCAAAAGACTTTAAGATATTATAATTTGGTGACATGGAATAAGTAAATATGATTTTTTTCTACAGTTTTTGAGATCTTGCTATTTTCTTTCTTGGATTTATATTTTCATTTTTTACATGAATATGCTATTTTAAATAATTTGCATTACTTTTTTTCCCCTTTTTTAGAGATTTTTGCTATAGGGTGCATGCACTCACCAGGGAGACAGACAGAGACAGAGACAGAAAGTGAGAAATCACTCCCCAGGGGGAATAGCCATGATGCAATCCCTTCTCTTCCACTTCCTCTCAGGACTTTGAACACACATACACACACACCTGGAGTGTTTCATGCCACTGGGTCCAAGACTCAAACCATAGTCGGCCATATTGGAGTCCAGTAATGCAACCATTATGCCATCTACTGGTCCCAATTTGTATTAGTTTTAACCACCCTTAATACTAGGACATTTTTATTAATAGTACAATTTAATTTCTTCTTTTTCTGTTTCTTTGAATTTGAGAATTGTTTGCCTCAAGTCCTTTCTTTAGATGAGAACATATTAAATTATTATAAATAATGTAAATAATAAGTTGACATTTTATATAACATTAACAGCATTTTATATTAATAAATATAACATAATATTATATAAGCATATTATAATTAAATCATTTTAAATGCTTTGATTTCTAGATGTCACCTTTTCTAAACATTTTTCCATGTTAATTTTAATTCACCAGACCCTAGCAAAATTTTCTATTTTCCCTCAAATCACAACTTTCAAAATTAGGCAAAGTGTAAACAGCACTGATTTTATTATTCTAAGCATAAAAATAATAATTATTATAATTATACACTACAAAAATATAAAATATTTTTAAAATGACAAATAATATAATGAGAAATTTATGTGGCTGCAAGTTGTGAGGGACTTCTTTTGTGATTACTGAATATTTCAGCTTCATTTTGCTTTATACTCAACAATATCGCTGCCCTGTGTTAACCTTGACTTTTTAACAAGCATCTATTTAGGCAGTCTGTGTTTGAAGCATAATGTTAATCCCTGAGAAGTGTCTCTGGACACCTAGACAGTTTCAAATCTCATGGGAGTTAAGATCCTCATCTTGTATTTATGCAGTCACTTTCATCCTTAAATATTCTTCTACCCTAATTTGGTTTCATTTGGTTTCCAGGAGCTTCTCTTATCTATCAAATTTTTCTTGCATTCTAATCTTCACATCTCAGATTCAGGCCATCTGCATGTTTGGGGAGGCTGCTTTAATGAAAATAGTATAAGAAAATGATACATAATGCCTAATCATGCCCTTGATACCACTTTAGAATAGAATATAATTTTTATGTAGATCTGTTTGCTTTTAAAAAAAAAAGTTTATTTCCTGAGACAGACAGAGAAGGAGGGGTAACCCTTTCAGGATCTTCACAATGCAGTCGTCCTCCAGCCCTGCAGACAGATAGCATCACAGGTGAGCCCAGCATGTTCAGGCATCACAGGAAGTGAACCAGAGCTTTCTTTTGTAGCCTCCAGAATCGTGCAAAAGTAGCTCTGCTGCTTGTGCGACCATAGCCAAGCCAACTACTGCTTTTAATTTCCTTATAGACTTAATATATTTGGAATATGGTGAGATGTTTTGTAGGTACGTTTACAGGGAAAAGGAGACTGCCTTTTAATATTATGGTACAAAGAACAGACCAGTTTTCTTACCTCCATCCATTTGGATTATTATAAAAACTCTTAGCAAATATTGTATAATTTACATTATGGCAACACCTCAAAATATTTTATTGACTAAGTCACATTGGTTGCCTAGCTACCAAATTACACATGCAAATATTTGAAATTTGAGTCAAAGATTGTCTATAGTTGGCACTCATAAAAAGTGACCTAAATATGGAGTGAAAATGTTGTTCAATTTCAGTTTTGCAATGTCACTGGCTTAGATTGCTGCTGAGGGTGCACTTATGAAGGTGGTTTCATTGAAATTGTGCATATGTTTTCTAAGAGCAGGCCAGAGGCCATAATAGCTATTAGACACTTGGCTGACCTGCAGATATAATGTCCTATCATCTTCCATAATTTCTTTTCATTTTAACTAATAGAACCTCTGAGAAATTATCTGTGTTATTATCAAATACTATAAATAATGAAGAATGAAATCTAAAACTATTTCTCTATATAAGAAAGGAATAAAAAGGTAAACATGCTCCCACTTCAGAAGTCTACTTAAAGACACTTCTGATTTTTGCAACCTGTGAAATTACATTTAAGAGCTATGACCTGGCCGTGAGACTTCTTAGTTATTTATCAAAGCAGAGCTGATCACTAACCAAATATTTTATTGTTTTTGAATCAGGCTGTTCCAACTTCACAGAACTAGACAGCCCTTAAAAACTTAAGCTATTTCCTTGATTGTGAACTGACTACCAAGAAAATAAACTTGTCTATATGAGGATTTCAGACATACAGAGTACTTCTAAAGTTTCCAACATGATATATTGAGACTTGTCAATATAAATAATAATTTGTGTTTTTCCTCTACCTTTTGTTCATTTTTTTTCCTCACAGAAGGTGAAGAAGATGCACAGCGAAATTCAACAGAACAAAGTGGGGAAGCCCAGGGGGAAGCAGCAAAGTCTGAAAGCTAACAGCCCACTCTGACCTTCAACACCTGACAATGTCTCAAATCTCCATGCGTGGCTGGGTTGCATTTGTTTCCATGAGTGAAAAGGGGAAAAAGAAAATGGCTGTGCTGCATTGCACAAACCTGCTCATGATCATGTTAAAAATGGGGGCAGAGGCTGTGGTTGCAGACAGACTTTTCTCTACCTCTGTCATTAGCAATGGTTGAAATCATGTGGTGTGTGTTTGGACGTCATTTCTGTATGGATCCTTTCACTTGACCATATGATGAAATGCTTGTAGAGAGTAGCACCGATCTAGATGATGATTCTTCCTGTAGCATCTGGCCCCTCACAATGTCAGAGGATTTAATTGTGTCTAATTGCAGATGGTTGGTTGGATCCCAGAGTTTAAATATCTCTGGCTCAAGTATTCACCAGTAAAAGAACCATCCAGAACGCACTGTTTTTAGCATTATGTATCCGTGTGTTACTGCTGTGTTATTTACACTGTTTTGAATTGTACACTATAGATGCTCAGCACTGCCCCCTTCTTTGATTGCTTATAAAAAACAAAAATGATGTACATTACTGTGAATTTTTATACCACTCATTTTTAAAAGGGCTGCCTTTTTTTTATTTTCCATGGTGTGGTGGTGTGCACAGGATAGAACATACTTTTTAAAAATGCAATCTTTCCCCTTGATCATTGTACATTGATGAATTTATAAAGTCTAACAGATTCAACAAGACTCCTTTGCTTTAATATATTTGAAAATGTCCATGAATGTGAATATTGCCTGAATTCAGTCTGTGTAGTCTTTGCACAAACCAGAATTCAGTCTGTCAACTTTGTCATATTCCTAAGTGGAGAACCCCTCCCAACAAATATTTTCATTTTTAATTATAAGAATATTGGACAATTAGGTGGGTAAACCAAGAAAATACTAAGGACTGGTAATATTCTGTTCTATGGAATCAAATTTCTTACAATGCTGTATGCTATAATTTAAATTTGAAAGACAATTTATATCCACCAGGCTAAATAAGATAGCTTTCTCTTCACAATCATGTGGACACCAATCACAAAAATGAGGCCCTCATGTTGTGTTTTTCATGTCTTTTTACAGCCCTATCAAACCCAAATGTTATTATGCACTTTTTAATGTTTGTAAACTTTTACTAATAATTAGTGTAAATTGCATTCTGGTATGATAATTATCATCATTAGAAGCTAAGAAAATCCTCATTAATACTGTTGATGGCCTCTGCTGTGTTTTGATATCACGGTTCTTATATAGAAAGTTTCTGTGAGCTGTGCAATCCCTCTGGTCAGTATTATGAAATCATTTGTAAGTGGTAATAAATAAGGAACCAGTAATATGTCAATGGTTCATGAATTACTAGACAAATACAGACAATAGGACATCCCTTTACAATAAGAAGCCCACTTAGCTGTCCTGGAGGGCTAGAAATTCTAGGTAAAGTAGGCAGAGCCACATTTCAATAGGTAACCTAATCTGTGGTTATGTCAGGAATTTAGCCATTCTTCTTAGCTACATTCAAGATCAAAGGTAAGTCTGCTCACATGAACTCTTACAGTACTTTCCAAGTGACTAGGATAAAGGCATGGGTATCATATGGTCCTCAATCAGATGTTACTAGAAAAAAAAAATTAATAATATGAGTCTTTCCAAGAACAAAAAGGGGAAAAATTAAATTTTGAGAGTACTTCCTTCTAGCTAACTCACCAGGGGCCAAAATCCCCAGTTAAAATGAAAACAAATCCACTCATAAGTGTCAAAGGAGGTTCCTGAGGCTATTTTAAACAATCTTTAATAGTCCATTTTAAATGTCTAATGCACATAATTAATTATCAATATCCTTACTATCCTCATAGCTTTTTTGTGAATCTAAAGGTCACTTCTTTTTACAGTTGTAGAACTCCAACAGATTTCATGTGATTTTATAAAGTTTAGAACCAGTGCTGAGTATATGTGGAGGGTTTATATTCCTATGTGATTACTATTATTAATGCATGTGGTGTCACACTTGTCTTTGAATATATAAATAGTGCTAAATTGTGAAATCATATGGAGCTTTTGATTTAGTTTGATCTCTTACTGCTACTTTGTCTGCTATATTCAAACCCAGAGGCATTTCTAAAATACAAGGATAAAAATCACCTTTCTAAAACATCTACATTCTTTAAATTTGGCTTACCAAAAGTAAATCTTCCACATTTTATTTTAGTATCTTTTACTTGCAAGTCAATAATACTCATGAATCTGAATTTTTAAGGAAAGAAGAACAGGGTAAGAAATCAAGGCATTGGTTTGATAACAATTACTGGATGTTTATTAATCAACAATCCCTATCCTAACCACTCTGGAGCAAATGTTCTCCTATTTGTTCTCAAACAATTCAATTAGAGTCATCCTTTATCCCATTTCACAGATTGGGAAATTAGTACTCAATGAGGTATAATGTTTCTAAGCTTAAAAATGCTAATAATTGATTAAATTAAAATTTAAACCCATGCTTGTTTATCTCCAAGGGTCTTTTTACCGTACATGCCATATAATTAAAGCCAGTTACACAGTATGTTTATCTGTAGGGACTATTTAGAGTCAGACTTGTTCAGAATGCATATTTCAATGAAGGTAACTAAGAGAAAGGAATTAAATTGTGTAGATGGGTAATGACACAGATGTGACTGGATCATATAAAGCAAACTGTTTTTAAAGACATCCAATTATAATTTATTTTGGGGGGTTATGCTTCCCAGAAGATATATTCCTGGTATGTGGTCTGTAAACTTAGCATGGTTCACATTTTTATGTTCCATGCTACTCATTTTGTTGAATTACCTAGAAACATGAAGATTTCAATCTTCTGACTCATTTGCAACAACTATGAAATTTACCTTTAATCAATTGAAAGCATTCTATGCCAATTTATTGTCATCATGAATTCATGGAGATGTTTTTCCAATAGATCTCAGACATAGCAGCCTCCAATTTTTAGATAATTTCCCCAGAGCATCCCACTGTGAATGCTCACACCTGTGACTTACGCAGACACGGTGGCAATACACCATTTAGAAGATGAATGATACAGCTATTTCTCTTTAGAGAAACAATAATGGATAAAGCAATATAACTGCTGGCCAGCAAAGCTTCTGAGTGAAACCTGTAGTAGTAGGAAAAAAAATGTATAATCATCAAGTGAAACTAGGAAAGGATCTATAATTTATGATGTCTTAATAGGCCCTAAATTGTTCTTTAATTAAGAGTGGCAGTCTCTGAAGTCATCTGTGAGCTTGTATGACTTTTGTACTCAGCAATGTTGCATGCTCACATAATTGATATTAAAAGTAACACATTTTTCTGAAATGTACATAGTCTATTAAGAGTATTTATTGAACACACACTATATACTTGGTATTAGAGAAAGTGCTGGAGAGAGTGGGGGATGATAATAAAGAAATCCAAAGCCTCAGCAATTGGAAAGGTAGACATACTTAGCATTCCAGCTTCACTTTTCCTGGCCTTTACTCCAATAATTTTCACCTCGATTCCACTTTAGTATCCTGCTTCTTTGATGTTCTCATATGCCAGATCTATCTAACCTCCTAGATTTTAAACCCTAACATCTCAGCCCTGATTCTGACTTGTTTGTTCACTGGGAGATGATTTTCAATCAGGAGAAAGAAAGGTGTTTATCAGAATGTCCTGAAAGTTTTCACAATACCCACCCTCTACCCACACATACATAGTTCTATTAATATACACTCTCTTCCCCTTGAAAACACTCCCCACATGATTTGATACCTTTTTTCCTTCCCACCCACCCCCACTACCAAAAGTTCAAGGCTCCCTAATGCAGCCACCCTGCCTACTCCACTGCAAGGCTTACAAATGAGTCAGCAACAAGATACAGTCAGTCCTCACAGACACCCATAGTTTTACTGAATTAAAAAGAACATTTTGGGGTAGGGAAGCAAAGAGAGTTTAACTTCTTTTATCTTTTCATCTGATTATTATTATTTTTTATCATATATAGGCAGTAAAGACCAGTAGAGACCAAGGTGGGATTCAATAGAAAGCAGTCATCAAGCAGCCTAGTTCTGTGTTACTTTTTTTTTGTTTTGAAAATGTTCTTCCTCCTTATATTTGTTGGCAAATTATCAATGATCCTTTCAGACCCACTGAACCCTTTTCTTCAGAGGTCTTTTAACAACTGCATTACTCCCAAATCCCACCATATTCTTTGTTCCCTAACATTTTCTCTGCAAACATATCTCACTACATGATTGCTATTGAGTTTTTGTTTGTTTTTTTAAGGAGATTTTTGCTATAGGGCATATGTGCTCTCTAGAGAGATAGAGACAGACAGAGAGACAGAAAGTGAGAAATCACTCCCCAGGGGGATGGCCACGTCGCAATCCCTTGTCCTCCATTCTCCTCTCAGGATTTTGGGCGTACACACACCTTACGTGAGTTTCAGTCTGGGACTCAGGTCCACGGTGGGAGTCCAGCGACATAACCATTATGCCATCTGCCAGTCCCCATGATAGCTCTTGCTTATATGCATATCTCTACAATCAGAGTGTGAGCTGTTTGAGGTCAGTGGTCTTTTTTTAATACATCTTTGTAGCCGCCTCGTTATCTTTTTGACTCTCAATAAGTGTTTGTAAATAAATGATATCTGCCCTCCTGAAGCTCACAATATAGTTAAGAATCTTACACTTACATAAATTAGGGAAAGTGTATTTCAGAGAAAGAGTAAGTAACTGAAAATAGTGAAGTCTATAGACTGTCATATTGCAGAAGATAAAAACTTAATTTCTCACAACTTTTCTCCTAGTTTATGCAATACAACAGCTAAAAACTTTGAAATTTGTATCTCAAACAGTATGCTACACACACACACACACACAAACACACAGATTTGATATGACTTACAGAAACGAGATGTTCAATAGGACAACATATCATTAAATCAGCAAATCAGGCTATGTCAACCAGTTAAATAATGATCATGATAAAAGTATTTCTGAGCATTCTGTAGCATGAGTTCTCTTCAGTTTGCTGCAATTAAAATTAAAATTAGTTGAAAGAAGGAGGTTGTATCTTACTCTTCTGGTATAAGCAACACATCAGTCAGAGAGTAAGATCTCCAAGAAGGCTTTTTGCAGGCTTTGAACGAAATTCTTTCTTTTACAGAAATATACTCTCATAGCCTAAGTAAATGAAAGTTCTGATAAGAGCATAATAAATTTCAATAGCAGGAATTCATAAAAAATGATAAAATAATAGGAATTAAGAAATATACATATATCAAGAAAGAGAGCACACTGAATATATATGTATAGAACTTTAAAGTCTTTTGATGAAAGACTTTAAGTGTTTTTTAGAAAACACTGGGAATTGAATGAACCTTGGAAATATGACATGACTAGAGAAATGTTGTGATTTTTTTTATGATAAACTAAGAAAGAAGTCTGGACAAGGTAAAGATGTAGGTTATCTCCTAATAGAATACATGTTTGCATTTAGACTGCCAGAATTCACTTTACACATCACTTTAGTAGGACAGTGTGGCTATTATGACTATCCTGTTGAATTTGTAAGTTTTCTTTCATCCCATATGCTCTTTGAGACCATAAAACCTTATATAACCACAAGTATTTTGGATAAAAGCTATGGAAAAAATAGCTATATCTGAAAAGTGACAACTCAAACAGAATCTGCCTTGTCAGATGGTCCTAAATAATATCCAATAAACCATCAAACTTTTAAAGAAAATAATACTTGAGCATTTACCAAATTTAACTCTCTTCATTAAAAAAAAAAAAAAAAAAAGCATGATATCAGGGGACCAGCAGTTGGCGTAATGGCTATGTCGCTGGACTCCCACGTAGTTGACCACGGTTCGCGTCCCGGACCCGGTGGCTTAAAACTCAAGCCAGAAGTGTGTGCATGCATGCCCAAGATCCCGAGAGGAGAACGGAGGAGAAGGGATTGCGGCATGGCCATCCCCCCTGGGGGGTGATTTCTCGCTTCCTGTCTTTCTGTCTCTGTCTCTCTGGCAAGCGTACATGCCCTATAGCAAAAACATCTTTAAAAAAAATTAAAAAAAAGGCATGATATCCAGTGGACCAATAGAAATTAAAATGCATTATGAGTTACATGGTTTTTTTGTTTGTTTGTTTTTATCAGTATTTCCAGCCAGATTCCCATCACCACTCCATCCCTCCTTACAAGGAATTTTTCTTCAATTATACTTTCTAATGAGAGTTCACCTTTTGCTCAGCTGATTCCTGGCCTTTTGTAACACTGAACTGGGAGAACAAGTACACAGGTCAGAGTGAAAGAAGATTCATACAAAAAGAATTAGTGCCAGAGTTTTTGTTCTGTGTTATTTATTTTGAAAGATATAGTGTGTGCTTTCCAGAGAGAAACAGAGGAGGGGAGGGAAGGGAGAAAGTGTGTATGTATTCATGCACAATTATTTCTCCATTTGTCTATCGTGTCATGATTTGGGGCATGCATGCACATGTTCCTGGCATTTTTCTCAAGCGACTGGGTCTGGCACTCAAGCCAGGCAATCAGCAATGTGGAATTGGTCTTCCTTAATGACTAGGCCAGAATTGTTCTTCTTTTGCAGAAGACAAACCAAGTGATGATGAAACAGACCAAAAAATAAATAAATAAAAATATTAAAAGTTAACATGCTTTAGTTGACTTGCATAATTAAAAGCAAAAAATAGAAGATTAGAAAAGCGTTGAAATGTATGGCATTTCATTGATGACAAAGAATGAAATAGAATCAGGATAGAAAAGAGTCTGTTTATAGATTCTGACCTAGATCTTTTAAAATATTCTCGAAGAAATATAAGTAAATATTGAGAACACGTTTCAGTTATTCTTGGTTTTAGATGAGATATTTTTAATTGGATTCCATACAAAGACTAAGTCACACAGAATTTAAGGTTTATCAAAGTATATTAAAAAACAGAAGTAGTAAGACAAGTACAGACATATCTATAATAAATGTTGAAATACGATGATGAATAGTGATGAACAT